CGGGGCGGGCGCTGGGCAGGGCTGTGTTTCCTCCCTCGCCTGTTGTGTAAACCTCCCTGCGTTTCACAACAAATCACAGATAATTAATAAGTACAGGCCCGTAATGAGCAGGCTCTTTAATAGAAGAATTGGGAGATGCGGGTGGAGCGTTCTTTTCCTTCAGCCCAGGCTCAGCTGGGTTTCCGTCTTCCTCGCTCCTCCGGGTGGAGCTTTGGCTCCGTCCCCCGGGGGGCAGCGGGGCAGCGACCTGGTCCTGGCGTCAGATCTGAGGACCGTCCCCAGTCTCCTGGGGGAGGGGCATTGCCAGCCTGAGTCCCCCACCCCCCGCCTCCCTGGATGGCAGTTCTGGGTGCAGGAATCTGGGGGGTCGTTCCAGCCTTGGGGCGGGGGTCCCGGCTGCACCTCGGGAGGCCTCGAGCCGTGTTGTTGAGGCCTCTCCCCCCGCCCCCACCAGGAGGAAGACATCGTGTACTACGACGCCAAGGCTGACGCTGAGCTGGTAAGTGCGCCCTCTGCTGGGGAGGGGCGGCCATGGAGGCACATGCCTCTCTGGGCCAGTGGCCTCTGCTGGGGAATGAGGGTGGGACTCAGCACCCTGGGATTCTGAGCTCGAGCCTGAGGGGTGTGGAGGCTCAGCCCCCACCCTGCACCTTCCCCAACAAACCCCTGGAGGCCAGGCCCCCCCAGGGCTGTGTCTCTGTGGCCCTTCAGGCACAGCTTCCTGCAGTGTGTGGCGGGCTGGGACCCCGCACGTGGGGTCCTCCCCTGGGTCAGCTCAGGTGCCAGAACTGAGGGGCGTGGAGTGCATTCAGGGAGGGCTTCCCGGAGGAGGCGGGCGGGGCTGAGAAGCAGGAGGCAGGGCCTCCCAGGTGCATTCGGGTCAGTGCACCCCTTCCCTGCAGTGAGGGGAACAGCAGCTCGGCGGGCGGGGCACCCCCCAGCCTGGTCCCGTGAGCAGCGTTTGGCCCGGAGCTCAGTCCACACCCCAACTGCAGAGGCAGCCCAGGTCCTGTGCCTGCCTGCCCTTCAGATGATGGGCACCTTTGGGTGGGAGGGGCCTACAAAGGAGACAAGAGTGTTAAGGGGGGCCCACGCCGGTTTGGCTCAGTGGATAGAGCGTCAGCCTGCGGACTGATGGGTCCCGGGTTCGATTCCGGTCAAGGGCACGTACCTTGTACCTCAGTTGCAGGCTGGATCCCTGGTCCCAGTCGGGGCGTGTGGGGGAGGCAGCCACACAGTGGGTCTCTCTCACATCAATGTTTCTCTCTCTCTCTGACTCTCCCCCTCCCTCCCACTCTCTCTAAAATCAATGGGGAAATAGCCTCGGGTGAGGATTGAAAAAAGAGAGAGAGTGCTGAGGGCAGAGCACGTGGATTAGACAGTGTTTGGTCGACTGTCAAGGCCGGGCCCATCGCGTGCCCCTAGGAGAACCGTCCCCTCTGGAAATAGGTTCACAGCAGCTCAGTCCCTGGGTCCCCCCTGTGCGGGCTAGGACGGGAGACCCCGAATTCTGGCTTCCTCTCCCAGGCCTGTTGGCCCGAGGGGTGTCCTTCCGGGAGCAGGAGGTGTCCAGTGACACCCAGAGGTGAGAGGCAGGAAGGGGGCCCTGCAGAGGGTCCCTGGTGCCAGGCTGGCCTGGGGGAGCCTTCGGAGAGGCAG